AAAAACACAAACATTATTTAATATTTTTTGGTAGTAGCTGTTATACCCTTTATGCGGAAGGTAAGAAAATGTTAGTCCATTGGAGTAATATTAACTAGCATTTTCAGGAAGTCAAAATGACCAGAGCATAACATGTGGGTTGAAGGGATGGTTCACCTAGTAATGAAAATGTTCATTTATTCACCCTCAAGTTATTCCTAACCTGTATGAGTTTATTTCTTCTGTTGAACATATAAGAACATAGTTTGAAGAATGTTGTTAACCAAACAGTTTTTGGTCCCCACTGAGTTCTATAGTATGCAACAAAATACTATGGCAGTCAGTGAGGACTAGAAACTGTTTGGTTACCAACATTCTTCAGAATTGTTTGCTCATCTCATAATTGTGCTTGTCTTTCACAGAAAGAGTCCCGTCGCCACAAGCAGAAACAGAAGCACCGTGATCGTTTGAGACACAGCGAGAGGGGAGATGGCAGACATGGAGGAGACTTGCAACAGTGTCTGGGGCCGAACTGTATCGAGTCAACACGTCCAAACTCAAAATACTGCTCTGAGGACTGTGGCATGAAGCTGGCCACCAAGTAGGTTATTTCATTAAGTGCAGCCAAACAGCATGGAACAGTCACGCAATGTTATACCAATACCAGTTTTATGTGTTTTGTACGTAAGATTGTGTTGATTTATTGATCTGCTGATTTGTGCAGCCGCATCTATGAGATCCTCCCACAGCGCATCCAGCAGTGGCAGCAGAGCCCCTGCATCGCTGAGGAACAGGGCAAAAAACAGCTGGAGCGCATCCGCAGGGAGCAGCAGGCTGCTCGGATGCGCCTCGCCGAGATGGAGCGCCGTTTCCACGAGCTCGAGGGTATCATTGCCAAAGCCAAGCAGCAGGTGGTCCAACAGGATGAGGATGTGAGTTCCCAGCAATACTTTCTTATGCTAATATCATTGAATTTTGTAGAGTAATTAGTATAAGATGGAATTTGTGTGTTTCAGGGATCTTGTCATGTTTATTGGTGTAAGCAAGCTAATGTCCTGTCTTGCAGGTGAATGAAACGGACAGTGAAGACACAGACCTTCAGATCTTCTGTGTGTCCTGTAGTCACCCTATTAACCCCAAGGTGGCGCTAAGGCATATGGAGAGATGTTATGCCAAGGTGAGTATATTTTGTTTTCTGATCTGATTTATTAAATAGTGAATTTTTGGTCTGATGTGGCATTCCTTAAAACAAAATTGGTTTGTATTACACTAACACTTGATTTATTATTTTAACAGTATGAAAGCCAGACCTCTTTCGGTTCCATTTTCCCAACCAGAATAGAAGGGTAAGAGGGCTATATTTCTATTATTATATAGTACAGCAATTTTGATTGAATGTGTCTGTATATCCTTCATTCACTTAGTTTTCTTGTTATACTTCCTCTACTTGCTTTATTTGTGGGCAGTTTTACCAAAATTGTATGGTGTATATAATACAATTGTTATTTTTCTGGAATTTAAAAAATGTGTATTTTTTATATTATTATTATTATTTTATAATAACTGTATGATAATGACTATTTTTTAATATATGCAGTAAATTAAATACTTAACAAATGGTATTTCATCTCAATTGATTTTTTTTTTTTTGCAATAAAATGAATGTTTTTTTTTTAAT